TTGAAACTCTAATTTTATTAATAAGCCTGAGAACTACTTCTCTCCCTGACTGGCCAAGATGTAGCAGCATTTTGTTGTGGATCTTATCTGGACCTGGGGATTTCTAGGTTTTAATTTCTTCAGGGCTTGTTCTAATTCATCCATGCTAAATTCATCTTCAAAAAGGGAGTCGCTGGCTGTTGGAGTCTCTCTCTCTTTTGTTTCTGTTGGGCGGCCTCAACTGGAGAGCTGTGTGATTCTACATCAGAGCTGTGTTCTGACGAGCTTACCTTGCTGCTCGTTAACTGAGGCAAAATAATGATTGAAATGTTCTGGCTTTTTTCTTGTCTTCGGTGATTGTCTTATCCCATCTGTCCCCCATGGTTTTGGGTTCATCCTTCTACTTTCTCCAGAGCGGTTTTAACTGAAGTCCACGCTTTGTTTTCCATTCTGTCTAAGGTCTAAGTTGGAGCAAGTTTCTGTCCATTTATCTCTTTTTAGTCTTATTTACTACAAGCTTTACTCTGGCACATGCTTTATTGTATTGGATCTTTTGCTTCTGTTGCACGTGCGTTTTCAAGTAATATTCTTGCTTTATTACTTTCATATATAGTATTTTTGAATTTCCTTATTCCAGAAAGGTTTATATGCCTTCTGGCTGCCCCTTTGGATGGCTTTCAACGCTGCATTCTGGATTGCTTCTGTTATATCTTCACAAAACGTTTCCACATAGCTGTTGTCAATTCTTCCCAGGAGGCAGTCAGAAGTTTCCTGAAACAGTTTCCAGTTTGATTTTTGGAAATTCCAACGGGTTCTCTGCTTGAAGCGTAATTTAGCGGGGGTGCTTACAGATGTAAGTATTGGTTTGTGGTCACTTCCTATGTCGTCTAGCACTTGGGAATACCTTGCGTCTGCTAAGTCGGATGAGCAGATGGTCAGGTCAGGTCGGCTGAGAGATAGGTGGGTCCTGTGTAACAGTGTAGGTGTAGACTCTGTGTCCTGCAGCACTAATAGGTTAGTTGTTTCACAAGTATCTTCGATGTATTTCCCTGTGCTATTGTAGTCAGGGTAACCCCAACGTGGTAATTGTCCGTTGAAGTCACCAACAAGAAGGGTTTTATTGTACTGTGTCTTGTATAGTTCTGGTATGTTGCATGTTGTCTGAGGTGAGCTGTACACGTTGTATATCGTATATTTGCTTCTACTGTGCCAGATAGTTATTTTTTGCATATTTGTAGGGTGGGATGTCGATAGCATTGTTACATCTCCTTGTATGTCATTTCTAATATAGGTCACTATGCCCCGGCAGTCACTGCACTTACAGGCATAACTAGTATATCCAGTGAGATGCAGATCAGAGTCTTTATGCAGGGTTTCTTGTAGGGCAGCCACACGTACCCTGTGGTTGTTAAGCAGTCTGGCAAGTTCAAGTTTCTTATTTCTTATTCCACAGATGTTCAGCTGTAGAATATTAAGCATCTGTGTATTTTTTTGCTGTGCGGTTTGAGTTCTCTTTGCTCTCCCTCCCACTCTGCCTCCTCCTGGGGTGCCTGATTTTCCTATTTACCCTACATTTTCCAGTAGCCAATTTTTTGCACATGACATCTGCTGAGACAATGAGACAACACATCTGCTGAGACAATTAGACAACACATCTGCTGAGACAATGAGACAACACATCTGCTGAGACCATGAAACAACACATCTGCTGAGACAATGAGACAACACATCTGCTGAGACAATGAAACAACACATCTGCTGAGACAATGAGACAACACATCTGCTGAGGCAATGATACAACACATCTGCTGAGACAATGAGAAACACATCTGCTGAGACAATGAGACAACACATCTGCTAAGACAATGAGACAAAACATTTGCTGAGACAATGAGACATCTGCTGTGAAAATGAGACAACACTCCTGCCGAGACCATGCACTACATCTTCTGAGACAATGAAACAAGAAAATGAGACAATGAGACAACCACAATACATCTGCTGGCATTCTCAAACAATGGTGGGGTGGTCCTCCTATTGCAGCCTTGACCAGCAAGCTACAGCAACAATAAAACTTCCTCAATAACAACAACAACTAAGCAACTCAATGAGGAAGTATCTAACAACAAGAATCACCTTCATTAATTACCATTAAAGATAAACAAGCCTGGTGATTGCCCTTGCAGCGTCCCTTGAAAAAAGTGTAATCCCCCACCAGGTAGAGGACACAAGACACTCCGGTATCAGAAAGTCTTTTGTCTCTCCTCCTGCCGCCTGTTCCAGAATCTGAACAAAAATGATGCAGAAAAATATCAACGACTCATTTATTTAATGGTTACCGATATAAGCACTGACACCAAAAAAGAATCATATTCCAGTGACAACACACAAAATCCTCATCACTGTACCACATAAAAAGTCAAACAGCAGTCCAGGCAAAATCAAACAGCACACATATGCATTAAATGCATTAGAAAGCTGACAGGAATGCCAGCTAAGATAGTCAGTCATAAAATGTTGCTATTTATAGTTGATGGAAATCATTTCAAACCACAGGTGCAAGGCATTACACGACACACTGCATATTCTGTGGCAACTGATAACTCGCAATTATACAGTTTACAACAGACATATCTGGGAGCACAGACAACAAGCCATCTCTGCTGAAATTCACAGCTCACAGTGTCACAACATGTAGTCAGCTAAACAGACTGGCTGACGGCATGAGATTTTGCTTGTACATCTTTTGCTGTCCATCCAGTTTCCCGCTGGAGGTTGAAACCTCAAGCTTCCAGTGGATTACTGACGAGAACAGGGTCCACCATGTCAAAGTGGGGTAGGTTGGAGCAAGAGAAGCTAGGAGACATTAAAGATCTTGTAATGGACATTATTGCTCCCTTAAGATGCCCACTAAATTTTATGTAGCTGAATTACAAATACCAGTTTTCTGTGTTTTTTGGGGGGGGGATGGGGGGGGGGGGGAATGTCTTCATACTTGGATGTGGAGGTCAAACAAAAATATCAAGACTGCATTCAGAGCCTCAAAAAAGGTATGCTGTGGTAGAGAGACTATAAATTGTGTCATGGTTGCTTGTCTGAACAGCCACAAGACCATGTCCGTGGCTTTCAGAAACAAGTACACAATCTTCACCAGTGATCAGAGAAAATACAAACACCTTACACTGTAATATTCCCAAAGACTGGTGGGTGCAGATGTATACTGCAGCTAACTTCTACTGCAGAGACAACGTTTTAAAAAAAAACATCTTCACAAAGGAAGGCTGTGAAAGTCAGTGATGAAGTGTTTATCTGGGCAGTATGGATAACAAAGTCAGCCTCACAAACACAACTGCTCCCAGTTTATCTGTAAGCTTCTGGACATTGTAAGAGAAGCATCTGAACAAACAAATTTACAGTGACCATATACTATTGGAATATGCCTTTCATATACAGGTGTCAACAGAAATTAGCAAGCTGCTAGGCTTGCGGGCAAGTAAGGCTACAGTGGAAGGTGGATCAGCCATAGAACAGGTTGATATACTGAATGCTCTGTGGGAAGTAAACGTGATGAGACAACAAGAACAGCAAGTTAAAAGAGGTGTGGCCAGACAAGAGCACTATGTATAAAGCCAAAGAAGAATAACAAACCAACACGGAACTGGTGTCGTCAGTCACTACACACAGAAAGATTTACTGAGTTGGGGATCCAAGTACTTATGGACTGAATGATACTTATGGATTGAATGGTTCGATGTGCAATGAAGGTGATCTGTGCACTAGTAAGATTTACTGAGTTGGGGATCAAAGCACATATGGACTGAATGGTTCGATGTGCAATGAAGATGATCTATGCACTAGTAAGATTTACTGAGTTGGGGATCCAAGCACATATGGACTGAGTGGTTCGATGTGTGTCTTGAAGGTGATCTATGCACTAGTAAGATTTACTGAGTTGGGGATCCAAGCACTTATGGACTAAATAAATAGTTCAGTTTGCAATGAGGATGATCTATGAACTTACCTTTGCCATGATGAGAGCCAGGCGTCTGTGTTATGTTCGGCTTGGAAAGGTGTCTTTTAACTTTCATATGGTTATTCACGCCACAGAACTGTGAACTGGCATCAGAGTTGGAAAGACATATTTATAGTTAAAACCAAAGAAACTCACTCAGAGATCTTGCAAACGGACATTTAAACTTCTTGACAGCGTTCCATTGGGCTGTAGGGAGAAATGGGAATCACAGACCGCAGTGATACCAACTAAGGCACGGATGAAGTTTCATCTCTCTATAACATAAAGCCTAGTATTACTGAGACCCTCTGTTGCCCAAGCCCCATGATCTCTTACTCTGCCTGCATTGTCAAATCTATAAAAAAGATCATACCAATGCATTTGGAACAATGCATGCTGCAGGAGCTGCCAGAACAGAAAGACAGTGCTCTGTCCGCCTATCAGAGCTTCCATTCCAGTCCCACATTTAACCAAGACTAAGGACCTAGTCTTCTCTGCTGAATGTTGAATTAAGAATCGACATCACAGCACTTGGGACACGCCCATAAGTGCTCAGTCCCCATCTTCAGCAGCAAGCAAAGAATTCCAATTCTGATGGTACCAGTAACCGTCTGATTCTATTTCCGTCTCATCCTTGACTTGAGTGTTTAGCATCGGCCAGATCCCCCAACGCCTTGCAGCGCCATTCTCCTTAGACTGTAATGATCTATCTGCGCCTCCACACTGTTTACTCCTCAAAATATCTAACTTGTCATACACCAGTTCACCACCAAGTGTTGCAGAGCCAGCCAGTCTAACTGCCTGCTGATTTCCCGACACACCGGTATGACTTTGAGAAAATATCCAAAGGATGCTAACTACCCGGGACCTATGAAGTGATGCTTGCCACTCTGCACGAAGCATGCCTATTTTCACCTTTCTCAACATGTTCTATGAGTCAGTTACGACCACGGCATGTGTGTACAGCTGATTCTCAAGCCAGCGGAAGGCAGCAGAGACTGCCTCCACCTCCATTTTCAAACCAGACGTTGTGATATCATATGCAAGGCTTTGCTGCACTAACGACGTCCATTTGCCTTTGTTATGAAACCCCTTGCACTTCGTCTGCCCCTCAACACAGAGACATCTGTATAGATAATCACATCACTTGGACGGGAGCTGTCCTGAATCATTTGTAAAACTTCTGATTCTGCAGCACCAGCTGGCCAGTCTCTGCACTCACGACCCAAAGTGATTAGAACCCTACACAAGCCTGAAACTTGTTTGGACATCTTGACCCACTCCTCTCCTGGCTCAAAATTATCAAGCCTGCACACATATCTGATTGTGTCTTCTGCTATAACACTGTATTTATGTGGCATTTTGTCCTAGAATAAGGTTAACTATTGGAGAAAAAATAGCTGACAATGTATGGTCATCAGAGACCACAGGTACACAAAAATGAACAATACAAAAAGCTACACTAGTGCAGTGGCTAGATGCTCATCTACCACCTCAGAGATCTTAGGTTCTCATCCATATCAATACATAATTCCCATGCTGAAGAAGCCTACAATGAAAACCAGCAGACGTCCTAGAGGTAAAGGTATGGTACTGACCACCTCACCCAGACAGTGTTCTTTGGTCCACACACACACATATATCATTTTAGTCCTATAGGCTCAATGGCAGGAAAACGGTTCCTCTTCTACTGAAAGACAGACATGGCATATGACTTACCTATTGTAACTGTCAGAATGGGCGTATGACTTACCTATTGAAGCTGTCAGACTTGGTCTATGACTTACCTATTACAACTGTCAGACTCGGCGTATGACTCACCTACAGCAACTATCAGACTTGGTCTATGACTTACTTATTGCAACTTTCAGACTTGGTGTATGACTTACCTATTGTAACTGTCAGACTTGGCGTATGACTCACCTGTAGCAACTGTCAGACTAGGACTATGACTTACTTATTGCAACTTTCAGACTTGGTGTATGACTTACCTATTGCAACTGTCAGATTGGTCTATGACTTACCTATTGCAACTGTCAGACTTGGCGTATGACTCACCTGCTGAAGCTGTCAGATTTGGAGTATGACTCACCTATTGAAGCTGTCAGACTTGGCGTATGACTCACCTACTGAAGCTGTCAGATTTGGAGTATGACTCACCTACTGAAGCTGTCAGATTTGGAGTATGACTTACCTACTGAAGCTGTCAGACTTGGCTTATGACTTACCTATTGAAGTTGTCAGACTTGGCGTATGACTTACGCTTTGAAGCTGTCAGGCTTGGTGTATGACTTACCTATTAAAGCTGTCAGACTTGGAGTATGACTCACCTACTGAAGCTGTCAGACTTGGAGTATGACTCACATACTGAAGTTGTCAAACTTGGTGTTTGACTTACCTATATTGAAGCTATCAGAGATGGTGTTTGACTGACCTGTTAGAGCTGTCAGACTTCAGGTCAGAAGCTCTGTATGCTATCAGTGTGTCATTTTTAGGGTTTTCTGCTGGTGTCAACAGTCTCCAGGCTGGCTGTGAAGATAAATTATGTTGTTCAATACCTATAAATCATGTTGTTCAATACCTATAAATCATGTTGTTTAATACCTATAAATCATGTTGTTTAATACCTGTAAATCATGTTGTTTAATACCTATAAATCATGTTTTTCAATACCTATAAATCATGTTGTTTAATACCTATAAATAATGTTGTTTAATACCTATAAATCATGTTTTTCAATACCTATAAATCATGTTGTTTAATACCTATAAAGCATGCTGTTCAATACACATAAATCATGCTGTTCAATACCTATAAATCATGTTGTTCAATACCTATAAATCATTTTGTTCAATATCTATAAATCATGTTGTTCAATACCTATAAATCATGTTGTTCAATACATATAAATCATGTTGTTCAATACCTATAAATCATTTTGTTCAATACCTATAAATCATGTTGTTCAATACCTATAAATAATGTTGTTCAATGCCTATAAATCATGCTGCTCAATGCTAATAAATCATGCTGTTCTATACCCATAAATCATGCTGTTCTATACCCATAAATCATGCTGTTCAATACCCATAAATCACGCTGTTCAATACCCATAAATCACGCTGTTCAATACCCATAAATCACGCTGTTCAATACCCATAAATCCGAGGCGCCGAAAGGCGTGAAAAGGGATCTTTACTTTTACTTTTTTACTATGCTGTTCAACTCGGATAAATCATGTTATTCAATACCCATATGACCAGACCCCACACATTAGGGGAGGTGTGTGTTCCCCCACTGCCCATCTAAAAAGAATGAAGTAAAACTGAATGTATCAAACTACAAGGCTTAGATATCACTTATAAAAGTGATTGCAGAACAAGACTGTACATAGTATCAAATCAGCATTAGAGGGTTTTTCTCTTACTGGTAATCTGGTAATTTTAATTTCAGCTTCATAGCAAACGGGTCACCCTATCTTTGCTCCGCTCCTGTGCCAACGAAAAACACACAGAATGTTTATCACAGTCCCTTGTGGAAAGACAAACTACTGTGTCAGCAAATCTAGCATACACTCGCATTAAAAGCATATGGTAGCCATCTGAAGTGCTAACACAAACAGTCTGACATTAGAAATGCAGTTCATCATTGATGGCAGCAGAAGTCACCAAAAGATCGGCAGTTGCACACACGATCAATTTTAATCAAATAATGGCCCCACCAATATTGCGACAACCGGCATCGCGCCATTTTCTGAATCTACAAATCACACCACCACGTTGGTCAGTCGAAAAACATTCCAAATGAAATCTGCAGCTCACAGTGCCACGCCATGCACTCAACTCAGAAGCTGGGTAACGAAACTATATACTTCTAGTCTACAAATTGAGCAAAAAAGCAACGGCCACAGTCTGGCAGAAGCAAAACAGTGGCGGTGCCTAGTGTTCATTTGGACCTGAAGCATTATGTGAGGGTTAATAAACTGTCACCCCAGCAGTACCCTACTATTAGCTTGGGAAGGGATTTAGGACATTACATCCACCAGCAAGCGTCGCCCCAACAACGACCTGACTGCCTTCGTTAACGACTGTTCACCCAACAGCCATGCAGTTCTTTGGCACGAAGGAGACACCTTGAACTTGGGTTTGGACTGCCGACTCCCTACACGAAGATATATGTGTGCTACTGGTGTTCCGTAGCCAAAATACTATCTCACTGTATTACTAAAATTCAGCACGCATACTCAAACACGCAGTAGTTTTTAAAAAAACACACACATACACATACATACACTCATTACCTGCCACCCGCTTGCTTGCTACATGACTACATATTTATATAAGTATATATATATATATATATATATATATATATATATATATATATATATATATATATATATATATATATATATTTCGGGAGAGGAAGAGAGTGCGACAATGGAGAAGTGGACAGTAAATTCAAATGGCTCAGTCAGATTAGACACAGTCCTTGCTGTGACAGAAAGTTGGCTGTAATAAAGGACTGCCGTAGAAAGGTGCATCTTACTAAACACTGTGTTGTCATAATGAAACTCTTGTGTGATCTGATAATATTTAACATAGCAGGTGATCATGCTGATCATGACTGGAAAGATCTCTGGTAGAAGAGGCAAAGGCAGACCAAGAGCAATGTTGTTGGATAGCTTAGGACAGAGGCATGGAGGAATATCGTCAGTGGAACTGATCCAGAACACCAAGGACCGAGATCTATGGAGTCGCATGAACGCCTACGCCAGCTGGCAAGGCACTTGTTGATGATGATGTGATCATGGTGCACTTGGCTCAGACAAGAAAGGCAACAATCACTATCTAATTATATTTAATGGCTCATCTATTAAACATTTAATATCATTGCTGACCCCACCAAAAAAAACAGGTAAAATGTCAGAGATCGGTAACATGTTTTAAAAAAAAGGCTCGTCAAAGATTGATAAAATGTAGTAATTACTGACCAAATTTATATCAGAATCTGTCATCCCAAAACAATGGTATCACAGCATACCCTACACTTGATCCGTCACCTTCAGAGGGTATTGAAGAATGTGGATACTTTCAGCTTCAGACATGAGTTGTTGAGAGATGCATCAAATCTGTTTCTTCTTTGTACAACTTCAAACACCAGCAAGAATCTTTATAAAGAAAGCATCTAGAGGCTTTGCTTACATCTTATCTCCACAGCACATGTACTGAAATGGCGGAGCTGAAGCCCAAAAATAAGGAGTGACTGGCCAGGACAATTAGAACACTGGTCTCCTAAATAGCCGACCTGGGTATGAATCACCGGTAAGATGATCCAATTATTTTCTGGCAGGAACAAAAATAAAAATCAAGACCAGCACAGTTCATGCAGTCCTAACTCCTCAGGCTCAAGACCCTCCTGTCCACACTGCCCTAAAATGTGGTTAATACAGTCAGTCAATCATGTGACTGGTAATGATTCCATTAACTTCCTACACAACTAAGCAGACTAACAAGTTGGTTCGGCCAAACTCTTTTGGAGTGATATTGGTATAACTCCCTTCCACACTTCTAGCTGCCATTTAGGACTGCAGCAGTACCTGTTTTAGCGTTTGCCCAGTCCTATCAGAATTGTATTTGTCCAACTTTTTCTGCTGATTTCCTTTTCTGTAGGTGCCCTGGGAAATAAAGGGGACCAGCATGCTTTTGACCATATCACCCTCCAAGTACCGGCCAGTCTATAAAAATAAGACTTGCACCATATTTCCCCGACACTTTGTTAGTGTGCCTGTGTCTGCTGAAGTTCCTTTTATGTTACAGTGATCCTCAACCTGTGAGAATTGCCTACCCTAATGTAACAACTATATTCATGTAACATAAACTAGAGAACAGTTTTCAAGAAGTGAACGCATATACACACCTCCAGGGCATAGATATCCTCCGGGTCATAGACATGGATATACCACAGAGTCTCTTCTATATGTGCATGGACCAGCACGTCTGGCTTGTCTGAAAACAGAAAAGCATGTCCAGGGACCAGTTAATCAAGAGGATAGGTATACTTCAACTCATTCAACAGAAAGAACATGCAGGGAAGATTCGAAAAATACACAGACAATGCAGGGAAGAATTCGCAGAACACACAGACAATGCAGGAAAGAATTCGCAGAACACACAGACAATGCAGGGGAGATTTCACATAATACACAGACAATGAAGAGAACATTCACAAAACACACAGACAACACTGAAAAAATTCTCACAACACACAGACAACACTAAGTATATTCACACAACACACAGACAACCCTAAATATATTTAAACAACGACACAAAAAAACCTGAGTTTAATCACACAACACACAGACAACACTGAGTAAATTCACAATATGTTTTTTAGTGTGTGTTCAAGCAACATGAGATAACAGCCTTCATTTACTGAATGGTTCCCAATTAGATCAGACCCGCAGACTACTCTTATTTAAAAGGTCTCCAATACTTTACAAGTCGAATTAAAAAGAAAATAAGAATAACTATATATTAAGATCGCAACAGCGATAAAAATAAAGGGTTGACGGCTTTTTAAAAAAAATAAAATGTCATGGACCCCTTAAATTTGTTGCTGGGTGCCCGGAAGTCCAGGGATCACCACATGGAAACCACTGTACTAACTTATTAGGAACCACTGTACTAACTTATTAAAAACCACTGTACTAACTTATTAGGAACCACTGTACTAACTTATTAAGAACCACTGTACTAACTTATTAAAAACCACTGTACTAACTTATCAGGAACCACTGTACTAGCTTATTAGGAACCACTGTACTAACTTATTAAGAACCACTGTACTAACTTATTAAGAACCACTGTACTAACTTATTAAAAACCATTGTACTAACTTATTAGGAACCACTGTACTAACTTATTAAGAACCACTGTACTAACTTATTAAAAACCACTCTACTAACTTTTTAAAAACCACTGTACTAACTTATTAAGAACCACTGTACTAACTTATTAAAAACCATTGTACTAACTTATTAGGAACCACTGTACTAACTTATTAAGAACCACTGTACTAACTTATTAAAAACCACTGTACTAACTTATCAGGAACCACTACTAGCTTATCAGGAACCACTGTACTAACTTATTAAGAACCATTGTACTAACTTATTAAAAACCATTGTACTAACTTATCAGGAACCACTGTACTAACTTTTAGGAACCGCTGTACTAACTTATTAGTAACCGATGTACTAACTTATTAGTAACTGCTGTACTAACTTATTAGGAACCACTGTTCTAACTTATTAGGAACCACTGTACTAACTTATCAGGAACCACTGTACTAACTTATTAGGAACCACTGTACTAACTTATTAGGAACTACTGTACTAACTTATTTAGAACCACTGTACCAACTTTATTAAGAACCACTCTGCTAACTTATTAAGAACCACTGTACTAACTTATCAATCAGTTAAGGGATAGTAAACCTGAGGGAAAAAAAAATGCTATTCAAAAGCTGATGTACTAAGCCATTGACTTGACAAAACATGTGCAACACTAAGTTGATTCACTGTGATGGTCAACAATGTAGTCAGCTGGCTGTGGGGACATGTGACTGCCTAACACTGTTCAGATGTAATCCTGATGAAAATGGGAGTAAGTGCAACAGAGCTAGTTTTAAAACACGAATTCAATGTACCACATTAGCAAGCTCAGCCCGGGGGGGGGGGGGGTGTGTGTGTGTGTGTGTGTGTGTGTGTGTGTGTGTGTGTGTGTGTGTGTGTGTGTGTGTGTGTGTGTGTGTGCGCGTGCGTGCGTGCGTGCGTGCGTGCGTGCGTGCGTGCGTGTGTGTGTGTGTGTGTGTGTGTGTGTGGGGGAAAAACAAAAAAAAAATAGAAATAAATGGGCGTTTCAACAGAAGACTTTATCAATGTACACTACAAAACAAGAGTCCCGGACACTAGTTAGAAGGGAAAGTCATGTGACCATTCTTCTTGTTAGAGTGCTCAATACATTGATAAAGACTTCGGTAGGATTTTTTTTTTTTTACAGTGGTGTTTATGTACTGGTGTGTGTGGCACGCGCACCATTTTAAAAAAATTGAGCTTCCATGCCATAGTTCAGTGCCTTTGTTTTCAGATGCAGTTGTCCATTTTATCAGATGACAAATGTTGTATCCAAATGTACACATGTGTGTCCTCTGCCACTGTTTACTCCCCTTTAATGGCTGGTTTACTGAACAATGAATTTCACAAACACTCTTTAAATGACAAAAATCCTTCACCAAAATGGAATGTACCGAACCAATGGAATTCATCACCTTGTTATACATATTTAAAGTTTGTAAAATTCTTCTGCATGACCATAATCTGCATCTGATCAATGACCGCATCATTTTAGCTGTTGAAGGCCCAACAGTTGATGGTCTGCTTTCCACAAATGTTTGGCCATCCCTGAAGGCCACTGTACCAATCTTATGGGTGTGTGGTTCTCATGCAATGTCACCAAAAAACTTGCTGAATCTATTGTATGGCTTCCACTTGGGTATCTGGAAGTTTATAACAAATTTTAATGCAAACTTTGCTGCATGAGTCGTTTTGTAATTTTGTAAACCTGACAAGCATTACCTCCACTAATTTACTCACTAACTGCGTGTGTACAATCCTGGATTTTGCCAGGATCAATTGTTTGCTCCTTAGGATAGTGATGGGCATTTTGTGTGATAGGAACGGGGCAATTATGAGGTGACTCATCTGCAGTCGAAACCTCGACCACTACTTACTACTACTCATTGACTGACAGGGATGGATATTCTAGGGACAGGAATAAAATTATCATGAAAGTTCAATACATCTGCCTCGGGCCCTAAAGGTCAGGGGTTTGTTTCAAATCAGCATCGTCTGGTTCATGCGTGAAGTTGTACAGCGATCTCTAGGGATCATCACTAGAGCTATGGAGTTGGTGCTTTGTGTGGTGTTCTCGACAGGCGGGTAGCTGTGCTGTGGAGAGAGACTGAACCATACACGATAAAATCCACTGCAATGATGTCGATCCTCCCACCTTCAACCTTTACATCCCTTAATTTCTCTGTGTTAATTTCTTTGTGTTAGCTAAAAGAACCTCACATACTAGATTTGTTTTTATGAGGAAACAAATGTTTCTTCATTTTAGCGTTTACCAGCTGGACTTTGGTCTTGTTCAATGAACTCAGCTTTGCATGCACATCCATTTTACATGGCTTGTCTGTGTGAAGATTGTTGCTTCGTCACTTCTCAGGCAGATGCTCTCTGACTCGGGATCAAACATGAATCTCATTATCGGTGGCCAGCCCTCCAGCTGGGAACATGTTTCGAGGATGACCACAAAGAGTTGTCGATAGGTCTAGACCAATATCAGCCCTGGTTCTGGTGCACCCCTGCATGTTCAGCAGCTGTGCATCGCTGTGGAGGTGATGAGGCTCTAATACTACCTGAACAACCTAATCATCGTGCAGAACAGTGCAACTAGATCCCATGCTTTAGGGTCTACCACATCCTTCTGTCAGAGGACACCCAACGTGCTGCATGGATTTCTTTCTATGGGTTCAATGCAGGTTGGATACTTTTTTTTTTTTTAAATCAGATCTCTCATACAAAAAAGGCCACTATCATCATGTGCAGATGTGAAAGATCTGGTAGTATAAGCAAACAGGCCTACCTGTGAGATAGCCGGAGAATATCAAACTTTCATCCAGAGTTAGAGTGGTAGAGCTGCCATCACTGTGAACTAGACTAGCACGGAAATCCTTGGCTATCAGATTGGTGCCCGATTTGAGAGTTAGGTCAAAGTCTCTTCATTCATTTCAAAAATAAGTCATATGTGATTAAACAGTATAAACAATTCACATTTTCTGCAGAAAACAACAGCAGCAACAAGAACAACCACTGCTGTTGCACTGAGCTTTCTTCTTCCCCCTCTTCATTTTTTTCTATCCTCTTCTTTTTTTTTTCTCCTTATTTTCTCCAACTTTTTTGTTACAATCGTCTTGCTTGCATCAGTACAGTACCATATGGAATAAATTAATTATTCCTTAGATCAAGAATTAACATTTGGAACATTTCCACATTTGTTCTAGACCTTCTTTAACAGTCAATAAAGAGTAAGGTGTGGGAATTTTATTAACTCCTCTGGCTTTTGTTTCCCATTTTTTTTTAAATTTTTTGTCGCTCCTTTCCTCAGTCTCAGATGGTATGGATACTATTCTTGCTCTACTGCACCATTCCCTCACTGGATCTCAGAACCTTCACCATCTCCACCTGAGTTAACTAACAATCTAAGCAGATCCAAGCATAAAATATAAGAACACACAGAATTGGAACCAGCTAATGAAGCCTCAATCTCTATTTTCAAGCTGTATATTATGGCAGCATCTGGTTCTCTTTTGGTGCCATCATTAACAGTTCTATAGTTCTTTAGTGGAGTCGTACACCTATTTGGGCAGTAATGTAGATAAAGATGGAGGAACTGATAGAGATATTAAAAAAAGAATACAAAAGGCAAGAGGAGCTTTCATAGCACTAGGGAATTTGTGGAGGTTAAAAGAAATACTAAACTAAAATTTTTTAATTCTAATGTAAAATCAGTACTTTTGTATGGGGCGGAAACATGGAGAACAACTAAGGCAAATTCTAATAAATTACAGACATTCATTAACTGGTGCCTGCGCAGGATAGAGGGAATTAAATGGCATGATAGACTAACTAATGTACAACTTTGGGAGAGAACTAAACAGGCTCCAGTGGACCAAGAGGTGAGGAAAAGACGCTGGCTTTGAATAGGACACAAACTAAGAAAACAGGAGAACATGATAACTAGAATGTCTTTGCACTGGAACCCACAGGGGCAAAGGCATAAAGGTATGCCAAAAAACACAGTGAGAAGAGAGCTGGAGAATGAAGTTAGAAAGATGGGGAGGACATGGGGAGAGTTTTATGTAATGGCGAAGAATAGAATGACTTGGCGCGAGTTGGTTGAGGGCCTATGCTTCATTGGGAGATAGAAAGGCTGAAGAAGAAAAAGTTCTTTAGTCTGTTTTTGTGACAAACTGTAGCTTTCCTAATTCAGATATTCTGGTTAAATTCAGTTGCAGGTGATTTGCAGGCAGAACACTTTGCAATAGTGTTGACAATTATATGTGAGTCAAATGTCCAGCAGGCAATAGTGAAGTACTGAACAAAAAATGGCAGGGTTCATTTGTATGCTTATTTGTTTCTCCCTTCCCCATGTATACCATGGTTTTAACAATTTTTCTTTTGGATCAAAAGGTCTAGGTAATATTCTATAGTCACAATAATTCTTGAGACTTATGGTGTTTGTTTAACAATAATTAATTTAAACACAACAAAACACAAACAAAATCATGAAAAAGAGTCTGTCAGTGCTAAGCCCGCATGATGAACATCTAAACACTGAAATAAATTGTTACCTGTCAAAGACTCGGAACTTGACATGTTTGAAGAGGCTACTGCCGCCATCAACTGACCTCTTGATGCTTGATGTCTCAGACACTTGACTGAGAGTCTCAAAGTACTTGAGGTTTGCCACACTGATTGCTGCAATTTTAAATAATATGTCACATCCACTGCAGTCTTCACAAAGGCTTGTATGAAGTATCTGAATATGCCACTCCCCCATTCAACATCTGTGATCAGCTCATAAATGTAGTGAGGAAATACTGCTTTTCCCCCCCCCCTCTCCCCCTCTATTCTTTCTCCCTGAAATATCACTATTTTGGTGTGGTAAAAAGGGTTGGGATCTGCAATAATGCCAAGAGCTACGTGGACAGTAGCATTGCTATTGGTAGGGTCTCAACATATTGGACAGGTCAGGGAATATGAGCCAGTTAAAGAGAGATACAGACCTGCTGTAATGTAGGTATATAGGTATAATGGGGACAGTCAAATGCTAAGGATGAAAGCAACTCCTCTTCCCATATTCCCATACTTTTACTCAACACCCCCTTTCCCACCCTTCCCATTCATCTTTGCTCACAACCCTCTGCATGCTGGTAGAAACTGAATGCACTGAGCCACAAGCTTGACAAAACAGTGCAACATAACTAATTTCATAAGGATGATAATATTCTCACTTTCCCCATCTTCTAAATTCAAACTGTAGTATGTAACCACTTCTAACACCTCTGGATTGCAGTCATCTTCCAAAACCTGAGTGTTGTGTGTGCATCCGTTTGGACACAGATGGATACTGGCGAGAGAGTGAGGTCGACGAATTGCGCAACTCTTCCTCACTTAAATCCAAGTCCTTGTGCAAGTCACAGCAGTTTCTGGCTGTCAGACAAGTGACCATCCAACATCGTTTAGATGACATTGTCCAGTTTCTGGTGGCAAGTACTGTCTCCCAAACAGGCAACTACTGTTTCTCAAACAGGCAAGTACTGTCTCCCAAACAGGCAATTACTGTTTCTCAATCAGGCAAGTACTGTCTCCCAAACAGACAACTACTGTTTCTCAATCAGGCAAGTACTGTCTCCCAAACAGGCAATTACTGTTTCTCAGTCAGACAAGTACTGTCTCCCAAACAGACAACTACTGTTTCTCAATCAGGCAAGTACTGTCTCCCAAACAGGCAATTACTGTTTCTCAATCAGGCAAGTACTGTCTCCCAAACAGACAACTACTGTTTCTCAAACAAGAATAACAAGAATAGACCCACTGCTTACCTAAAAGTATGTCGTAAGAGTCGACTAATTGGGAGCTTCCTTTAAAGTCGGATTGCATCTGCCTGAGAGGCAAGGAACCAGCAGTCTGCATACAAATGAGTCAGATCGGTAAAACGGATGCACACGCAACACTCAGGTTCTGAAAGATGACTGCCGTCCAGAAAGCAATGGCAAGCTACTTGATGTAAATTTGCCTAGAGAAACCACACAACAGCCAGGGGCTGCTATGGTTAATTCTGCAACGTCCTGGAAAGGATATGCAACTAACCCTTTAGTTGGCTCTGTTGCTAAGTCAATGAGAACGCTTTGTAATGATGGGGTACGGGGTTCGATCCCAGCTGCGGGTTTTGCGCCTTGCTTTGGTTTCGACAGTGTATCAGGGGCTGACCGTCTGGAAAGCAATGGCAAACTACTGGATGTAAATTTGCCTAGAAAAACCAACAGCCAGGGGTTGCTGGGTTTGGTTCTGCAACGTCCTCTAAAGGACGCAACTAACCTTTAACCTCCTTAGATCGCATCAAAGCTGTCTTTTTCATGGCTCTTGGTCGCGAGCAATGCTAAACCATTTTATTTGGCGCACTTAATCTGGTCACAATTATAACCGAAAGCTCCCCCTACAGATGGTACTGTTAATTAACAACCAGTTAAGAAACAACATCGCTAAATGCTTTATAATTTATAGTAGTAGTACAGTTCAGTGTCTCAATCTCGGCGCCATCTTTGTAGGTAGTCAATCTAGAAATCAACTTCAGTTGCAATGTTAGCAATATGAATATTGGCTCCAGAACCATATCAGTGCCTTGAGAACATTAGAAAAGAAGAACAGTGTCGAACTTACCAATGTGTGGATATAACGACAGTGAGATACAGAACAGGACGATGATCATATTTTCTTCGCCTCAGTTTGTAGCAGCCGGTTACAAACGTCGCATGCCTCATGGCCAGGGTTTATCCCCAGTCGCGGCCTACAGTTCATCCTTGCAATTCCAAACCAAATCAAAATAAATGTTGTTTCGGCCTCCACCACCTTGTTCCTTACAACCTGGTTCTAAACCACTTGATGAAAGGGGTATGCCTACCCTGTATGTAAAGACTTGACTCGGCGGATTGTGCGGATGAAACCTTTTATTGGTTCAACGGTTAAGAAGGCGTTTACCAGCAGGTTCTATGGAGAGCTTTGAGCAAGACAGGGCACTTAAGACGCCCTGGTCATCCACTGCACCTAGGTTCATTTCTAATCGTCTTGACATTGTCCTGCCATTGGATCAAGATGGACACAGGCGAGAGAGTGAGGTCGACGAATTGCGCAGCTCTTCCTCACTTAAATCAAAGTCCTTGTGCAAGTCACTTTCATCCAGCTACTGATCAGTCACCTTCGTACTCATAATCATTGTCAAAGACTCGGAACTTGACATGTTTGAAGAGGCTACTGCCGCCATCAACTGACCTCTTGTTAATGGATAAATGTGGTCTTCATCAGTCGTGATGGACGAACAACATACATTACTTCCTACCTTACCGTTTCAGGTATCGAAGGAGATATCAGGTTATGCTTATTGCTTATCTAGCCGCCTTGATAAAAGACGTAGTGTTGTTATCATTCCATGTTGTTCTCGGTCTGCCTCGGGATTTTCCTTCTTCTCTTTTCGTGAATGCCTTATATGGTATGCCTTATATGTCGGCGTCTGTGGCTTAGGGGTTGCGAACGCGCTTCGTATTGCTGGGTGCCGGAGATTTGCCTTGCGTTGGTTTCGACAGTGGTACCGAGAGATGACTGTTCGGAAGCAGTGGCAAACTACTGAACGTAAGATTTGCTTAGAAAAACCACAATAGCAAAAAATCCTGATGTTGGTTTTGCAACGTCATGTAAAGGATACGCAACTAGCTTTCTTTTTAAACTTATATTGTTATGCCTCAAAGGGCATCCTCTGCGAGTCGGCATTGCAAACTGATTTGCTGTCTGTGTGGTAATTTAGAATTGGTTCTGTGCCAACATGTTCTCTTATGACCTTATTTCCGATTTCATCTCTTCTGGTCACTCCTGCAGCCTTTCTCGGGCATCTAATTTCCATGGATCCTTCTTTTTGTGTGTGTGTGTGTGTGTGTGGTAACAATCTAAAAATATATAATATAACTTGTGGTTTATAGTTGCTGGCATAGTTTGTTGGTAGAGAAAGACTACAACTTCCCGACAGTTCTTATCCCATCAATAACGTCAGACAACTGTAAGTTAAATAAAAAAAAAAGTACTTTCAGGTTTTTGTTGCTGTTGTTGTTGAATTAAGGAATCGATATCACAGCATTCGGAATAACCCCATAAACACCATCTTCAGCAAGAAGGCGAAGAGTTGCAATTCTGATGGCACCAGTAACTGCCTGATTGTAAATCCGTCTCGTCCTTTCCCTGAGTGTTGAGAGTCGGACAGATCCCCTGGTAACTCCTTGCAGCGCCATTCTCCCCAGACCATAATGATCTATTTATGACTGCGCCCCCCCCCCCTTTTTTTTCACTCTAGAAAGTGGTTTGATTGCTTGCTCGGTGGCTGACATTAATTTTTCTACATCTTCTAACACTTCATACATTTGATTCACTAACATGATCATTCCTAGAGCCACATCAGTCGCCGCTAACTTTGTTGCATAAGATAGTCAGATCGGAGATTTAGCCACATCAGTCGTCTTTAGCGCCGCTAACTTTGTTGTATAAGATAGTCAGATCGGAGATTTAGCCAGGTCGTACTGCTTGCCGACATCAGAAACACAAACACCATTCTTCTGTCTAGTGATTATTATTTCCATCTTCGAGACTGCCGATTTGTTCGTGACTAGAGGTGTTCATGATCTGATTGTACCACTGTAATAGTAAAGTAAAGGACCCGTTTCGACGCCTTCAGGCGTATAGGGCTAGACCTATATTTTTAAAGACCTATCGGCACAAGATGAGTGATGTGGTCAGCATCACGCCGGCCGCCTTTACTTCCCACGACTGCACCCGACACCCACTCAAGGCTGACCACTGTAATGACTAAACTACAAAACGCAAAATTGCCTGGTAAAATTATGAACAGGGAAGTTATGATAGGATTGGTTCTGCTACGTAATGTAAAGGATATACAACTTTGTTGTTGTTGTTGGTTGTAAGTTATCACAGTCGATGTCACTGCACATTGGGCATTCTCATGCGTTTTGTCCTCTGATACAGTAGCCACGCCAGGCTACCTCTACTATCTGTTCCAACATCATAGGCCACAATATAACAATACTACCCCTTGGAGGGATTTGGTTGAACACGGTCCAGTTTATTTTATCAACAACACAAGAAGAGCCGTCCTTACCCACACAGGCCTGCTGGTGACGCCTGGCTGGTGTCGCCGTTACGAATATCCTAATTATCATTTATGTGGAGACTGACCAGAGTATTTAGGATTAGTCTTGCTGGTCTGCCATCCAGATTGATATTCTTTAATATCATAAGGATGGTATGGTAAACTTTCAAGTGCAGCCTGGAGGGACACACCGGACTGATCGATCATAAGAAAACAAGCAGATCTATTTAAGTTCTTGGTTCCACCTAACTTATTATTAACAGGGTGGTCGCTTTAAGGCGGGTAACAGACTAGGAAACACTCGTGGCAGCAGCAGCCTGTGAACAATGAAATCGTAGTGAACTACATCCAAGACTAGCCTTGCCTGGGTTTGAATGTACAAAAAAGCCTATACTGCTCGGGGTTTTACACAGCTCAAGGCCCGGTCAAGTCTAAATCGGGCCCTGTACTGTATTATGTTGTCTCTTCAATGGTGCCAAACCCAATCACGAAATCTACGAAAACGAACGTTTCTCTAAACAGGCAGCTGCTGAAATCGAGTAGTCAAACCGTTTGCCTCGCTCTCTGAAGGTCGTCGGGTTCGTTTCACTACTGCGCTGGTTAGTTCACGATTGTGATTTGTGCGGAGGTCCCATGTGGATCTTCGCCGGAGCTACGTAGCTGGTGCTCTTGACGACGCTCTCGGCAGGCGGCTAGCCGTTCTCCTGAGAGATACCGAGCCACACGGGATAAAACCCGGTGCAATGATGTCCATCCTCTCGATTGTGACTTCGACTTTGATTTTTGGAGATAAACGCAACAAGAACTTGGTTGTTACGAAGGCCGGTTAAAGACCCTCGAAATTATCACAACATAGACATAATCAAGGTTCAGACTCTAACTATTGTTTTCATGACATCCATGGTGGGTGCAGTGCTGGTTACATATGTCAGCTAAATCAGCTAGAGATTGGGAGCCTCACACTTTGTATGGTATAATTTTTTTTTAAACACAATTGGGGAAATTTTTAAAATGTTTTAAGTTTTAACTTAGACAATTTTACAGGAGTAAATACATTTTCTGTGATTTTGCAAATACTTTCATTAAAAAAAAACAATACTAATTAAACTACAAAATATTTCTATTATCCATGTTTTTAAAAGGTGCAAATATTTTAAAGGTTTCTAAGATTAGCTGGTGTCGACTGGTAGGGCCTCGGATTAAAAAAAAAAAAATATATATATATATATAGATTAGTGGCTAAATCTAAACCTGGTCCTGGTGGGTGATTTATGAACTGCAATAACTTTAAACAGACGAATTCATACTAAGAACAGGAGTAAGACAGGGTTGTGTACTATCACCACTACTAATCAATATATACATGGACAGAATAACAACAGCAGCAAACCATGTAATGATAAGCGAACTGTTAACTACACCAAGCAGTGAGACAGAGTTAGTTGAAAGAGATCATTATAATGAAGTATATCCCCAAAAACATACAGACGACCAAAGCCATGAAACGAAAAAGAACTTCTCCACGTAAATGCGCTACACACAGTATATAACCCTGAAGATCAGCATCATCAAAAAAGAAATTCTGAAAATAAGTAGAAAACCTAGTATACTAACTTATTCAAGTTAACAACGAACAACTCAAACGGCCACTTGATGCGAATGCAAACCAACCAACTGCCTCTACGAGCATACAACGAACAGCACTACTGCCCTAGAGCAAGAGGCAGACCGAGAGTACGATGGATAGACAATATATCAGAGATCCTGAGGCAACACAGACTAACAACAACACGTGCAACACACCTGGCCCAGGATAGAAAACTGCGACTCCCCACTACGCTGTTAGGCAACTGTGGACAAGACAAGACAAGACAAGACAATAACTTTAAAGATATTTGGGAGCCACAGCGTGTATCAAAATCTGCAGGGGTCTCAACAAATGTACATTTTTAATAACACAAACGCAATCTTCCTATGAATGAGACTTTCAGAGGAATATACAATATAATTTATGTCATTTCCCAAACACGTTATGAATTATTCGTTTAATAAAAATTAAATGATAATAGATTTCCATCATTCATTTAAAAGGCAAATTTAAATGGTCTGGGATAAGCTGGCGTTTTTGAAAACAGTACAGGCCTCATGGTTTTTTATAGCTCACGGCCCCATCAAGAGTACATCGTTCTCTTCCTGGCCAGCATAAGAGTGCCTTTCCACAAAGTATGTTTGTCAATTATATATATATATATATATATATATATATATATATATATAATATATATATATATATATATATATATATATATATATATATAATACTAGCTGTACCAAGCCACGCGTTGCTGTGGCATAGTTTGGCTAAATGGAAATGAAAGAAAATAGAAATCGCTCGTGTCTTATACAATCATTGTCTGCTCAGATATAGAGATAGTCTTGATCCCCGCCCCCCCCCCCCCCCCCCCCCCCGCCCCCCCCCCCCCCAAACCACCACAACGAAATCCACCTACTACTCTCTCCCTCATCAAAGGTTTCTGGAAAAGAAAGACAATGGAAATTGC